ATCATCAATCAAACGCAGAGCGTCTGTGTGACGTGGTACTGTGGAAGATTTGTGTGTGCGCAGGTGAGGCGAATCATGTGTGCGCAGCTGAGTTTGAGGTAACATGGGCTGTTTTAAGAAGAATGTAATCGATGTGTGCGCAGCTGAGGCGAATCGTGTGTGCGCAGGTGAGTTAAATATATAAAAACGTCTGTGTGCGCAGGCGAATTATGTGTGCGCAGGTGAGGCGCCATCCGTTCTAACGCTCCGTAGAAATCAGAAACGAAGACAATCAGGCGACCATAGTCGTTGTCAAGAGAGGTTACTCTCCAAATTTAGACAAGGTCTTTTCACTAAAGGAATGTATAGATGACCCCTCGATCAAGATTCAGTACGTAGGTACCAATGAAGCAGCAGATGTGTTCACCAAAGCCGAAGTGGCTTAAGTGTTACGTCAATTACGTCAATCAAACCGTAAAACGGAGTGCCGGACTGAAGCAGAAAGTCACCGCTGCCGGCGAATGCGTTGGATGCTTGGTTTCCAAGTGCGTTGGTAAACCGTGAGGAAACCGGTGTACCACAGGGACCAAGTTCGACTCCTCTCGCACGACGCTGCTTTAACCGTTCTTCACTCTACCGCTCGGTCACTGCAACTTCACTACACACGCGGTTTTAACCCTCTGGCGTGTTATTGCTTTGCATCACGCAATGTGCAACGCAACTATGTGCTCAGTTTGTGTCGCTGGCTCCACACTTTATGTGGTCTATGAATGTGTTTGGGCACAAACATGTTGTGTTTGAAGGGGTGATGGAACTCAAAGCCGAATTGGCCTTGCAGGGCAATTTTTCCATTCTCGCAACCTGTTTCGTGAAAGGTGCAAGACTTGTTGCCATATGGTTTTGCAGTGCACCATGCCGGATTACCCCGCGCAGACCGAAAACTTGTTGAGGACAGCAAACACCTGCCAAGTTCAACTTTGTTCCACAGTAATTTGTCAGCGTATACAGAACCATTTGAGAACATATGGTAAATGTTTTATTTTCAGCCTTTCAGTTGTTGATTCAAAAACAAATGGCAGGACTTGTACGCTGATAGGCACATTCAAGTCTTGGTGTCCACTGCAACATTGGCTTGGGGCCGGTGGCCTCGGTGGCCTCGGTGGCCTCGGTGGCCTCGGTGGCCTCGGTGGCCTGAGGGTTCATTTGAGCAAGTTGCCCTAGTAGCGATGCCAAGAGCCCCTAGTAGCGATGCCCTTTGTTACCAATAGCGTCCTTGTTCCTAGTAGTAAGGCCAGGAGCCCCTAGTAGCAATCCCCTCGTTCCTAGTGCCGTTTCGAAGACTTGGAAACGTTTCGAGGTGTAAACCTGCCAGCTCACACAGTCATCATCAAGGGCACCCAGGCAACCAAATCAAATTGCAATCACTAAACGAACTTCAACCCTTGGGCTTGGGCGTGCCGCGTGTGCAGGTCTACAACCCGCAGAAGGGCCAGTGGGATGAACTTTCTCCCATGGACATGTGTCTTGCCTCAAAATAGCATGTGTTGCTTGAAAACAAATACAACATGTAAAACATATGACTTCATTTACTTTATTTACTTCATCATATGTAAAACATACTGCTTTTCGGAACAAGACAATAAGCTACTAGGAACAAGTGCATCGCTTCTAGTAACAAGTGCCTTACTAGTAGTAACAAGAAGCTTTTGGGAAACAATAAGCTACTAGGAACAAGTGCATCTCTACTAGTAACAAGTGCCTTACTAGTAGTAACAAGACGCTCTGAGAAAACAATAAGCTACTAGGAACAAGTGCCTTACTAGTAGTAACAAGAAGCTATTTAAAAACAATAAGCTACTAGGAACAAGTGCATCGCTACTAGTAACAAGTGCCTTACTAGTAGTAACAAGAAGCTACTAGAA